CTCGGCTGTAAAAAAATTTCGACCTAGATCTCAGGTAATGGTGCTCGACCGTCGAGTTCTGGTTGAAAAACCAGGTCTGGAAATGGAATGACGCGACTTGTTGGGAAACCTAATAGTGTAATGTTTAGAAGAGGTCATGCATAAGTAGAGGGTACATCATTGATTGATTTCTCCCAAGGGAAGATAAAGTTAGAGATAGTTGTCGGTTTGGTCAATTTTTGTCGGCTGGACCTCCCATTTCGCAGGCCTAAAATTTGAAAACCCTGGAACAGAGGTGGAAGAGGAACATAGCATCTTGTAGAGCAGACAATTCTCTTTCGAATGGTATATGACTCGATGTAAAAGCATGGGGATTTAGATGAAAATTTTTTGGTTGAAAAAAAGCGACACTATTTATGAGACAACCTAATAGTTCTTAGTAATGCCAAACTTTGGTTGAATTAGTGTTCTCAGTGTTTTTAGGGGAACCATTCTTCTTTGTGATCGTCACACCGCTGATGGAGCAGGATTATCTGGTTGATTGTGGTAGAGATCAAATCGATGGTCTGTTCTCGATGTTTCGATGTAAGGTTCTTACCTCCACTCCAGCACTCGTCTCCGTTTAACTCAATTTTTCCTTGTAATAGGTCAGCGTCTTTCGGGTGCAATACAAATGGGATGGGCACGCCGTATTTTTGGACTACAGTAGGCGCGAAATGTGTAAAGGGGACTGCTGCCCGCTACTATGGTGTCACGAGAATTGAGGGAATTCGTGAGCCAGGGGAGTGTAGCCAATCTAGGGGGTGGAGGATGAGGAGTCACTTGACATGCGTGAAAAGCTGGAATGTGTGAGTTACTTCATAGCGTCTCGTCACGTCATAGTAGCGGCAGCAATCCCATTTACACACATCTGGCGCCTACCGTATCCGAAAAATTCGGCGTGCCCATCCCACTTGTGTAGCACCGTCTTTTGAGTTGTTATAGTTTCTGAGTAAGGAGTTGGAAAATCATTATTTTCCAGAAAATACAGTGTGTCTCCAAGAGTATAGGGACACCCCATTTTCAATATCTCTATAATGGTCGAATGAATTCTCCTCGAGACAGATACAAAAGTGAAATTGGAAAGAAAAAAATCTTGAGGTTTTTGATGATTTTTTTTTCTAAAATCAGGGCGTCCCAAAAGTATAGGGACACTTCGGCGTTCGTTCTCGATTTGTGTGTAGTTTGCATTCAACATCCCGTTCATGTATGCCCCATAGGTTCTCTATCGGATCCAAGCCAGGAAGTTTGGGTGGCCCAGCCGAGAAGGCTGATAGTTCTCTCTTGGAACCACTCCACTATTGAGGTACTAACATGAGTGGCGGCGTTGTCTCGTTAGAATTTGAACTCAACGGGTAGAAATCGCTGCATGTATGGCACCGTTGCTGCTCTATAATACGTTTCTGCAGCCACTGGAATTCAAGCGTTGCTTGATAAAAATTCACTCTTAGGGTATGCTCTAAAGGTAACCCGAACCGTGACACTACCTCCACCGTATCCGCGCTCGGTAGCCTGGCTCCTTCACCAAAGCCACGCTAGCGAACGCGGATTCGGTTCACTGCCACGCCATTGGATCAATCCTAATTAAACTTCTTTTCATCTGAAACGACCCGGAAAACGCGGTCCGAAAAATAACATGGAATACCACAGCATGTGATATCACGTGCGGAAACCGCCGGTGCAAATTACCTCATCCTATTGATAAGTCCTTTACGTATTCCTTTACGTGTTCCTTTACGAAAAATCGTGCTTCCTTATGCGCACTCATCTGAAATGGCCCAAAACTGCCTTTGAACGATATGGGTGACATAATTTGAGCACACCATAAACAGTACTTTTCGACACATCGGGTGCTGCTTCCTTGCTCAGCCGCCGCACACCCTTTAAATTGGATGCAGCATAGAGAATTCGGCGCTTCTGGAAACTTTCCTAGGTCTCCGCTCCTTTTTTCGTACCGTAGGAGTCGATGTTGTTGCAGAATTTGCTCACCAAGTTGACTGATCGTCCTAATTTCCTTGAAATACTGCGGTCTCATATCCTTGTAAGCCCGAATATGGCCTTTCTCAAAGTCGGATAGGTGCGTTATTCGTGGCAGAACAAGCGCGGTAAGTAGAGCAGTGGCAAATTGGTTTCACAAGTAACCAATGTCGGAATACATTAGAGAAGAGCCGAGTGTCCCTATCCTCTCGGAACGCGATCGTTTTGAAAAAAATCATAGAAAACTTCAATGCTGTTTCTTTCCAATCTTATATTTATACCCTGGTGTAATAATTCATTGTTGACTGAAATTTGGTCAGAAATCATTTGCCCATTATAGAGATGTTGAAGAAAAATAGGATGTCTACATACATTTGGCACAAACTGTATTGTGATTATTGAGCATAAATGCCATAAAGTGATATTTGCCGTTGATCAATCCCTTTTTGGGATGCGGCACGCATTCTACTTCCATTTGTTTCGTAGTGGCGTTTGAATGCGATGTGGCCTATACAATGACTTGCGGGGGCCAGCCGATGTACAAGTCAGTGTTTTTTATCCTCCCAGACAAGTCTGGTACCAATTAACCGACCCCGGGATGGAAGGCTTGGTTGGCCCGGGCGACTCACGACCCAGGATTTGATCCCCGGACCGCTCGCGTGGTAAGCGCGCCACTTGCCACTACACCACTTTATTGCCCATAGATAATATAATCCAATTGGCTCAATCATTGGGAAATATAAGTTTAAATCTCTCTCTCGAAAATGAAAGTGGAGATGAGAGCAGGACTGCAGGTGAAAAAAGCAAACTGCATTCAAGGACCTTTTCGTGAGATCGATCACGGCAAGAAGGAAAGCCACGAGATGCGAGAAAACGAGAAAAAGAGGGCGCCGTACGAGGGCGCAGATTCACGGTCTTTCTATAGCGCGCAGTGGAGCAGCCGGTCAAGTCCAAAGACAAGACTCCTGCGCCCTTGTCTCGAACTTTCCAGCTGCAAGTGGCAGCATGTAACCCTTGCGTACAGCTCAATTTTATTCACTGAAAAATTGTTGCTGTGTACCGGTCTCGGAGTGTGCCTTTGCCTCACCCGAAATCAGACAGTACCAAGGCCCTGTGTTGTTATGCAAACCAATTGGAAAACCGTTCCTCATCCTTGTGGTTCTATTTGTAACGAGCGAAAGCGAGAAGTTTGTTTGAGGGCGTTCCTCTAAAAGCAATTCGAATCTCTGAGATTCTGGTGAAATGCTGTGTTGTGAACACTGCCTCCGCTTGAATCCTGGGGTTTATATACCCCATTCATGGTGATATGAGATCACAGTGAGCGGCCAAAACACTCCCGCCCGAAAAAAAATGTTTCTTGATAATTTGACTTCTATATCTTCAGTAGTAGTTGGCTGATATACAAGACGTTCTTGGATCTTCTTTGTAGTGATGATTGTGGTTTATACGACGTTTCTTTTGAGGCTTCTTGTTATCATAGGATGCGTTCGTTGGGCTGTCTTCTTAGAAACTTGTTGCTTCTTGTTCTGTTCCGTTTTGGGATCTTGTTGCTTCATGTTCGACATAGTGTCTCTCAGCATTGTTCTTTCTTCTCCATCATTTTCTAGATCCATTTCGCAAGCTGGTATTTCTAATGGATAGAGGAGGTTGAAGGGGCGTGTTATTGTTTGTCCATCAGCTAGTTTGAGAGTGGCGCAATGATCGGACCTTTTGATTATTCTTGCAAGTTTCCACTGGCCCCGTTGTTTCATCGAGTCGTGTACTATGACGATCTGATTTTCTCCAGGTACCTCCTTTGATAGTGAGCGTGGTTGTCTATGTTCTTGTTGAAATCGTTCTCTCATACTTGTTAAATACTCTTCATGCCATTTTTTCCAAAACTTGTTGAGTAGTTCTAGCGTAGACTTCCATCGCATCTGGAGATCATCATCTCTTACTTCAGTCTTCCACTCCTCATCGGATTCGTCTTCTTCTTTTATTCTTGGGGATCCCAGAAGCGCGAATGGTCTGAGGAAGTCTATGGGTCGAAGGGGATAACCCGAGTCAATATCACTGTAAACGTACGTGAGTGGTCGGGTGTTGACAATTGCTTCGCACTCTTTGGCCATAGTGAGAAATTCGTCGAAGTCCAGTTTGCGATTTCGAATAGTTGCTTTGAGGGATTTCTTGAAAATTTTGACCATACTTTCGTATATGCCCCCTTGCCATGGAGCGAAGGCAGGGATGAATTTGAAATGAATATTATGCTGAGAGCAGTAGTCGACAAGGGCGTTGTTTTTGTTGATAGGAATGGTTTGAATTGTGTTGGCTACTGATGTGAAAGCCGAAGCATTATCTGAGAGGATCCAATGGGGGCATCCATGAGTTGATATAAATCTTCGAAGAATTTGAAGGAAACAATTTGCGCTGAGACTTTTTGCTGCGTCGACGTGGATAGCACGTGTGTTGATGCATGTGAAAAGAGCAATCCACACCTTTACTTCTTCTTCGTTGATTGTGGCTTTAAATGGGCCGGCATAGTCGATAGCACAGTTGTAAAACGGATAATGTGGTTGTTTCACTCTTTCTTGGGGGTGGTCTGGGAAGGGTGGTAGGCGGAACGGTGGTGCTTTTTCTCTTTTGCAATACATGCATAATTTGTTGATGATTCGCTTCACTTCGGCTCTTCCTTGAGGAATCCATACATGTTCTCGAAGAGTGGTAAGTGTCTGAGCGATTCCAGTGTGATGGTTTTCTTGATGTATATGAAGTATGTACAAGGATGTTATCCAGTTTCGGCGTGGGAGGATGATGGGATTGTTCGTGTCGAAAGGCAACGTTGAGTTCGAAGTTCTTCCTTTCGATCTCCATAGCTGTGTATTTTCTTCGAAATAGGCTCGAAGACTCTTCTTTTGGTCTTCTGTTATTGGACTTGTTGACTGCGCTTGTCGGAAAAGTATCAGACTCGCTTTTCCAATAAGGTCTGGACTGTTAAGTACTGTATTTCTCTTCTTTGCAATTTTCTGTTTGGTAATGAATACGAAGTATATTACGTTGACTGCAACTTGTAGGAGTTTTTTCCAGCTGCCGAATTTCGTAGTATTATCAATCAGTGTCCCAGTTTGGGTTTTTTCTTCATTCATATTGATCGTGATGGCGACTATTTCGTTCTGGCTAGTTGTTTCCTCACTTTTGTCTTCAGGCCAATGCTGATCGTTTTGCTTCAAGAAGGGTGGTCCGTTCCACCACAGCTCGTTGCCTAGAAGATCTTCAATAGATGAACCTCTGCTTCCCACATCAGCAGGGTTGAATGCAGAGGGGACGTGGCGTAGAATAGCTCTTGGAGCATTATTCTTGATACAGAGAACTCGATTTTGGATGAAAATTGGAAGCCTTGCATTGCTTTTGATCCATTGTAAAGCGACTTTGGAGTCAGACCAGAGGTACATCTTATCGTATTGAATTTCCATCTCTTTTGCGATGTGTTTCATCAACATAGATCCCAGAGAGATAGCACTTAGTTCGAGACGCGGGATTGTTACGGTGTTTTTCAGTGGAGGTAGTCGTGTTCGTCCCATTAATAGCTTGACTTCGATCTGCTGTGCTGTAACTGTTCGAATATAGGCAACGGCGCAGTATGCGGATTGTGATGCATCGGTGAAAACGTGAAGTTGGTGAGAAGAGGGTATTTTAGGGTTGATTATGATTCTTCGAGGGATTCTGAGCGAGGGAGTGGTCCAAGAGTCGAGGATATTTGTCCAAAGTGTTTGATAGGGAGTGGGTAGTATCTCGTCCCACTGAAAGGTTTCTTTCCATAGGCTTTGGAGGAAAATCTTCGCTTCTACGGTAACCGGAGCTATGAGTCCGAGCGGGTCAAAGATTGAAGCGACTTGTTTCAGTACATTTCGTTTGGTGGGAATCAATGACTTCTCGTATTTGGTGGGTAGTCGAAGAGTGAGTGTGTCGGATTCAACATTCCACTGAATACCGAGGATTTTCGCGGTTTCTTCTGCTGGCGCGTTCTCTTTCAGTGCGATATACGAGTTGGCTTCAGCATTTGAGGTGGTCCATTGTCGAACATTCATACCAGCAAGTTTGAATAAACTCTTGGTTTCGTTATATTTATCTATTGCTTGCTCTTTTGTATTTGCTGTCAAGAAAATGTTGTCCACATAACATGAAGTGAGTATCTCATGAGACAGTGTCGTCGCTGTTTTTGTAAGGTGAAGATGAATCGTAGCAGCCAGTAAGAAAGCGCTGCATATCAGTCCAAATGGAACTCGTTGAAATTGGAGTGTCATCAGGTTCTCTTTTGAGGGGGGTTGTCGATGGTCCTTGAGCCACAGGAACTTTGTGAAAGGTTGATCGCTTTCTTCTAATCCTATCATGTGATATGCTTTTTCTATATCTCCTATCAGTAGAATGGGTGCGAGGCGAATTCTAAGAAGTATTCCGCTCAAGTCTGGAATCAAGACTGGACCACGAAACAAACATTCGTTGAGACTTGGTTGGTTGCCGCTCTTTGCGCTTCCATTGTACACCAGTCGAATTTTTGTTGTCTTTGATCCGCTAATCACGGCGTGGTGTGGAAGATATGTTCCTTTTGTTTCTTCGACTGTATTCGAAACTTCGCGGATTATGCCTCGCTGTAGTTGTTCTTTGATGATGTTGTGATACTTCTCTAGATGAGAGGGATTTTTAGAGAGGGTTTTCCAGTTCGACTTCAAGCATGCTAGGCTGTGATTATAGTTTTCTGGTACTTTTGGCGGTCTACTTTTGAATGGAAGTCTTGTATAGTAGCGGCATTCGGCTTCATCGTAGCGTGTTGTGGTGTTGAAGAAATCGAGACATATATTATCGTCTTTGGAGCTTGCTTCGTTTGTTGTACCGAGAGATTCACAGGACCAGAATCTTTCTACCATTTCATCTAAACTCTGCTTGTTCAATGGGTGATCACTTTCATTTTTCACTGCCATGTTTACAGCACGAGTCGGTATTTTCCTTCCAGAGATAATCTTCCCTAATTTCGTGTGCAATAGGTAATGTCCACTCGGCAGATTTGAAGAATGGAAATCGGAGGAGAGGACCAACTGCCAAAAGTGATCCATTCCTATGAGAATTCCTGTCTCTCTGTGTCTGGCTGAATATCGAGAAACGTTGGGCAAGCTCAGTTGATAGAGACGGGAGGCTGGAGGGAAGGGGTAGAGGTTTCGTAAGGATAGGAAGGGATTGTACCTTCATAGGGTACAATGAGTCGTTTGGTAATAGTATGCAGATGTTATACTGCTTTGATGATACTGTTCTCGACTCCTCGTTTCCGAATGTGTAAAGTGTAATATCCTTTTCCGTGACTTGGTTTAGTTTGAGATTTTCTGCGACATCTGTCGTAATGTATGAATGTGTTGAACCACTGTCCAGAAAGGCCAGAGTTCTTGCTCTCTTGCTCCTGTCATCCGGATTGACTAATATGATCTCAGTGCACATTAGCAGAACTTCGTCGTTGTTCTTTTGCTCTTCATTGTTCTCTGTTTCGATTGTCGTTGAACTGGTTGCGGTGTAGCACAGACCACTTTTTTGATTTGGTTCTCCATCTTCTTCACTTTCATTTTTAGCGCTGTTTTCTGTCACATCCTCGGAAAAGTTTACTAGATTAGCTGGTGAACGAGCTTGCTTGAGTTTACCGCCGTCTAGAAACCGATTGGAATTACTTTGAATATCGTTTGTCCTTTTCGACCATTCGTTGGTTTGATTCTTTGGAAATGCAAAGTTGTTTTGGATGATTTTGTTGGTATCCCTTTCTGATAAGGTTTTGTTTTGTGGTGGTTTTGAATGATAGCACAGGGAGGGGTGATGGTGATAGTTGCAGATATTGCAGGGTGGTCGGTCACAGAATTTTGTTCTGTGATCCGGTCGTAGACATTTGAAACACAGATCATTCTGGTGAGTGCGGTCACGTCTTTCGTCCGGTGTATTGAAATAGCGACATTGGAATGCATTATGATTAGTTTCAAAGCAAAAGGGACAAGACTTCTGGCGTACATTCGAGAATGGTACAGGCTTCTTGAGCCGTTCTGCATCTCCCGTTGTTGAATTTCGAAGGTTGTAATTATTTGCACAATAAGAGTTGATGGAATTGCCGACCTGTCCTAAGGTGACTTCTTTTCTCACCACGTCCGAGAGGAGATCAATTAGTTGGTTTGGTGTGAGGCTCATCTGTCCTCCTGTTATGTCGTATATCTTGGACTGAACGAATCGTGGCAATTTATTATATAGTAGTGCCCCGAGCCCGTATTCCGGCGACCCTGGGGTGATGGAAGTGTATTGCCTAATAAGACGTAGCATTTTCAGATAAATTTCTTGAAGTCGTTTCCCTTCCTGATCACACTGTGGAAGATTTGCGAGTTCCGTGTAAATCAGGTGGCGCAGGGCTGAGGGGTTGTTGTACATTTGATGAAGAATGTCGACAGCCGTACGATAATCTTCGTCGGTTACGGGGATTCCTTCGATGGATTGTAACGCTTGCCCTCTCAGGCAACTTTTCAACAGAGAGAACTTTGTTGCATCCGAAAGATCTATCTTTGAATGGACCAGAGCGTTATACCTTGACCAGAACGTGGGGAAATCAAGAAGGTTGCCGGAAAAACTGGGCATGTCTAGCCTCGAAAGTAAGGCAGCGTCCAAAAAGTTCATCTGTAGAGTTCCTTGGATTCCTTTTTGTGAGCTAGCGGAGTCGAACATGCTACTATGATCGTAATGGTACTCACGTGTTTTGGAGGATAACTCCGCTTTCTGGATCGTAGGATACTGTGCTGAAGATCTGCATTCTGTCGTGTCTTCTAACTGCAGCTTCTTCTCGGGTGTCGTGGTCGCCATGTTGTGAACACTGCCTCCTCTTGAATCCTTTATTCATATGAAGGATGAACAATAACTGAACCTTACTCTATGAGTGGGGTTTATATACCCCATTCATGGTGATATGAGATCACAGTGAGCGGCCAAAACAGAAGTTAGGGCTTTGAAGACTGCATAGTCGCGTCCAGGAAAACGGCTCGAAAAAATCAAGGTGGAAAAAACGGAACAACGGGACTATTTTTTGAAAAAATGATCGCTGGAAAATTTTCAGGTGCTTGTTCGAAAGCTCTAATCTTCTAGTTTCTAACTAGCCTTAGACATTTGCAAAAAGTTGATTATGAAGAAAGTTATGAATGTTTGAATGTCAAAAACTCGCGTGTGCACAGAAAACGGAACAACGGGACGATTTTTTGAAATACTGAACATCCACAACATTTCAAATACTCCTCAGGAAGAAAACTATTTATATTTTCAAAATTTTGGTGTCCGATTTCATGAAACAGCTTCTGAAAGAAAATATAACCTTCTGAATGGAGGGGTTTGGATTGCAATGTAATTGCTACAAGGTTTAGTTTTTCAGATTATAAGGTAAGGAAAGTTGAGAGATCGAAAAAATCCTGGTGGGTTTCTGAAAGTAGAAATCTTTACGAATAAAATGATGTATTGGTTTACGCAAAAATTTGGAAATTCCTTCTATTTAATGAATAAAACTTCATTTGCCTCGATTCCTCCTCTGAGCGAGACAAAGCGCGCGGATTGACCACGGTCCACCACTTCTCCATGTTGGTGACTGCCATCATTGATGAGCATTGATGAGCATTAAATTATGTGAAAGACATGATAGTTAAAGGAGGATTGCACGGAAAGAACGAAGGTCGAAGAAGGGAGAAATCGCCTAGTGGGGAGAGCGGTGAATCTCTTGAGGGTGCGGACAGACACGCAATCGGCATCGAAAGATTTGACCTCGGCGATCTAGCATGGCTCAAAGTTGGCGGTTCGGCGATCTCCGCCCACCGATCATCTGATCACTCGCCGTAGTCAATACGTGGCGAGTGATTAGATAGCTGAGAGAGCGTAGTGTTGAAGAGGGCACAGCGATGAGAGTCGCATCAATGCTCAAATCAACGGGCAAGGAAGGGGTCCCATTTCTCGGGTTCTGGGCCGTTTCTCATGGTTTTCCTTCTTTCGTGTACCACTCACCATCCCTACCTAATTTGAAATGGGTTGCTTTTCCATCGTAAATTCGTCCTTTAAATGGGAGGTCGTAAAAATTTTAGAACTTGCGCAACGCAGGGTTGACCCTGCTCGTGGGACCACGCCTGTTTTGGCGCGCCCAACTCTCGCTCACAATTAGGCAAAATTGTCCTTTAAAGCAATTTTTCTGTAGAATTTTCGACTTTAACAGTATACCAGTTATAACTGCAGTTCTAGGCTTTCATACTGTAAATTATTTTCAAGAGAATTCCAAATTTGGACGGGAACTCGCGTTTCAAAGGGAAGGAGGGCAAAACCTCTAAAAGTTTAAGTGTCCAAGAGAATTTCCGGTACACTTCAAACCCCTTCCCATATCTGAGGGCTATGAGAAGACGAAGAAGTCCTGATTAGTAATTAATCTTCGGCCTAATAATTTAAAACCCCAATTAATATGTGGCGAGCTAAATGGCACATTCTAAAATTCTATATAAATTAGCTCTTAGTAAACATTTCTGTAAGTCGTGCTAGCCATAGATATTATGGAACTTGCTTATAATTATTGGGGTGTTACAAATGTTTTAAATGCACAAAGAAGGAAATTTTAAGGTGGCACCCACCATTGGGTGCCATTGTCCCACGCGACGAACATAGTGGCACCCACCGGTGGGTGCCATTGTCGTCAAAGGGTTATGCGATCAGGCGAGTACGCGATTAGTCGCTCACCGCTCAATGGGCGGAGCAAACAAATCGATACATATCCTTTTACTATCACGCCTAGTCGATACGCCTTCGCCTAGTCGAACGTATACTTTCCTCATGGATCACCGCCAATCGCCTTATCTTGTTTACGATCGCCAACCCTGAACACCGCCATGGAAGTGAGACGGGTGATACAATCCTCATTTTCCTCTGAATTCCTGCCCTGTCCTAGGCTCGGTACTTGAGAAAGGTCTCGTAACCGGCAGTAGTGCCATCCTACAACTCTGGAGAAATCTTCCTTATTGGTGCACGGGCACATGTTCGATTTTGGTAAGCTCTCTGCCGTACTCTTTAGTCGGATGCCAACCTCCACGTGCGACCTTCCACACGAAAGAATGTGCGCAGAATATATGGTGTGAGGGAGGAAGACGACTTGTGCAGCATCTCCACGCTGCGATAGGGCGCTCCACTAACAAAAGGGAAAGCGCTGCACCGGTGTCAACCGTCCGTTCGAGGGGGTTTGTGATTTTGGGAGGAGGGGCTCGCAAATGTGGTTGAGTGAGGTCGTTTCACGGGTTCTCATCTTGACCGATCACAGTAATTCCGAAGCGATTTGGCCGAAGGTTTATAAACAAGCCAAACGAGAGGCAGGCGTAAACTGAACAAATTAGTATGTTGCCTCATGAGCCACTGCATTTGCACCGTAGCCCCTCCCGCCTCCCCCACGCTCCTCCGATGCTGCTGGCCCGACGCTGGATGTCCGACTGGTTCCAGATCACATGCCTATACCAGCCAAACAGCCCCCACGGTGGAATAGGGCGATGCCCTGCGGGGCTCGGAAGAGGTGTTGTTCGGGAGCCTTCACAGCTGAGGTGATGTTTGCGGGGAGGGGGAGGAGGTCGCAATAAATCACTCTAGAAAAGTGGGGAACGCGACAAGTCGAACTTAGCTGGTTGGCGCACGCCACAAAACAAGCATTCCCGCATAAAACACAGTTCACGGCTCGCAATTCTTGCCGCCACAATCGCCCTAGTCACTAGTCATCCTAGGGCACTAGTCGAGCCCTCTCAAAACCGAGTCATAGAGCTACGAAGCAATCATCTGTCATCGACCCCGCAGGCTCACCCTAGCAGACTGCCTGTCGACCGCGCCGTTTCGAAGTGGTAATGGTTACGGTCCTTACCGTTACCCAACTCACTCACCGCGCTATCTAAACTCGAAAGTTGGAATCCTCATCCGATGATGACTACGCGTATATTGCTTATACCCCTTGGTAACACCATCAGGAGCGGGTGGCAGGGGGGCTGAGCTTTTGCGAATCATATCGAACGGTAATCGGGATGATGTGCCGCAACATACACGTGTATGCATGCTGTCCTACTCGCATCTAATCCGGTGGTTCTACAAAAACGCACTGCGTCGGGTTCAGATTGCCCCGCTTCCTTTAACATCCGTAACCACTCACACTTGAACTTCATCGCCGCACGGTACGATGCCTCTGGCAATGTATCGGCCCTTCGATCACAATGTGTAAGTGGAAATTTCAGTTGAATACACATCTCGGTTTACGTGATAGCTATGAAAAGATTGCAATCACTCCACATACCTGAGCGGGGTGCAAATTGAAAGTGTAGTGCAGTTCACGTCACGAATACACTTCACCGACCAACCATGCGATGCTTGAGATGATGGAGACGTCTTTTGATGACGACGAGGAGCTTCTCCTAATGCCAGCCTGGAAGCAATTTGATGGACAGGAGATATTCTATGTGGTAATACAACCATTGCTTACCAGTATCACTGAAATGGCCAATACAGTGGAGAGACCACAATAACATTGTGATTCGGCCACTTACACTAATTTGCCTTCTTCAAGAGTACAACAACCGTCTTGGAGAAATTGACTTATTTTAATGAATTGGCGATAAGGAATTCACGTCATTTCTCAGTTGCTTGCGAGTGCGTGTATGCTCACGATGTTCTCCATTAGTTGAGTTGGGTGAGCTTATCAGATCTTATCGCTCATCGCCTCATATTGATAATCCGACTAATGGTTTTGATTCGAGAAAAAGTGTTGTTTCTTTTGCTTTCGACCTTTGAACAATGTGAAAGGAGGAGGGGGATAAGAGAAGAGTCACCCCTTCCAGGTCTCAGGACTTCTGTCAACCGTGAGGCTTGGCGGTTCAGCGTTTTGTAGTGATGTCTGGGAGCTCTCACAAGTGCACACTATCACAGCATCTCCTCTTTCTTTATCTCCTTCAAAAGGCTTAGTCCCAATAAGACACAAAGTGTGTGCTTTTCCAGCTACGCTCTCACCCTTTGGTTGACAGAAGCCTTGTAACCCTTCTTTCCCTCTCATCCACGTTCACAACGGAACCAATTCCACCCTGCTGAATTCAAATCGAGTGATCCCAAAAGAAAATCATAGAGCTATAATCCACTGGAAACTTCCCAATAGCCATCTATACCGACGGCATCATAAGAATCTCCCACTGGAACACGGTGCAGTGTTCGAGGTCAACAAAGCCTCGACGGGCCATTTCTACCTTATGTGGACCTATACTCGAGATCCGTAAGTTGGGGTAGGCGTGTCACCGGAAGTGACGTGCACTTGATAGAACTATGTGGATAAGCTGCTTCCAACATACATCGCTGGATATCAGCAAAGCATGCTGGCAACAGCTTATCCACGCAACTTCTATCAAGTGCACGTCACTTCCGGTGACACGCCTACCCCAACTTTCGGATCTCGACTGTATATGGAGAGCCTTGAGATCAAGAAGATCAGAGTTACCCTGTCCTTAGGAAACTATCAATCAGTTGGGCGATTTAAGAAATTGTGTATTAGGTTGAGCAATAATTATCCGCCGTTTTTTTTTCAGGCTCATGGTTCTTTGATTTTTTGCTGATTATTTTCAAAGGTTATGATGTAGTCTGAAAGCGCTCAATCTCTTGTACATTTTGATGTACAACACTTGTGTATTTACTTCACTATGGAGCTTACACACTAGCAAAAAAGATTGCCCTGCTACATGAGTGCAAGTTGAGCTCGAAACCGAATGCTTCTGCATCTGCTCGTAGAATCAATGAAGCCTGGGATGAAGGCACGGTCCGTTGGAGAGCGATTGTTAACTACGGATTTATGGTAGTTTTTGTTTGGTTGTGTGTGAAATGTGAAATGAGTGAAATGAAAACGGCGGATAATTATTGCTCAACCCGATAGGTCACGCTTGAGCGATTACGGTAGGCCTTTTTGAGCCCAGTGGCGATGGTAGAGATTCCAGAATTGATGAGGGCACTGTTGGAACAGCAAGGCCTGCTTGTGCTCATGGGGAGACCATTGGAAAAGGGTGCGCCTGCTTCTGCTCATGGGTGTACTGTAGGAATATTTTACGGTAAAACTTTCATCAACGGCGTCGCCCTGTGCGACGAAAAATTTGGTGATGTGCGTCAGGGCAAAATTAATTTTTGGTACATTTGAGGAACCGCTTGGCAGCATAATAATTGTGCACGTCCCTTTCGGGTAGGCTCTTCAACCCTTTTTTTCTTCTCTCTTGGTCAGTGCTCAGTGATACTGGTAAGGAAAAGGTTGAGGTGAATGTCCCGTACTATGATTCTTTTCAGATTCACCCAAATCGTGCCGTCACTCGAGAAGTATTCGTTGATGGCGTCAAGCAGGGAACACGATACGCTGGCGAATTTGCAACCGTCGACTATGAGCCGTGGCTAGTCTTCGTCAACTATTTACCCTTTGAGGATACTGTATGTTCTATTGTACAAAATAACATTTTACAAGGCACCTTTGACTAACTACCATACCATAACTATACTTTGGTTCGTACTTGCATGCCAGTCTATCCTTTTGTCGGTCTGTTCACAACAGAACATTAAACCTCCGCGAGCTAGGACTAAGCCCATGAGAGGGGAGAACCTCCAGGTAGAAAGAAATTTGCAGACATTCTTCCGGATCGCTTCCCCTCCCTGTGCTT